GATCTCCCCAAAACCCCAAAACCCCAAAACCCCTCATACTGAAAATAAAGACAGAATAGCAAAAAAAGAATTAATTATAGAAATATCTACTGACATCTTGATCAATGTTATTAACTTAGTATTTATCTTATTGGATAAGTGATTCCTTCGTATTTTTCATTCAGCTAATTCGTCTACTGCTTCTACTGATTCAACTTCAGCGACATAATGCTTGAGCATGTTTTCAATGCCATTTTTTAGAGTAACTGCACTGCTTGGGCAACCAGCACAAGATCCTTTCATTTATAGTTAAACATGACCAGTCTCCTCATTGAAGTTTAAATATTTAACATCACCTCCATCTTCTTAGACAAATGGTCTAATTCTAGTTTCAATGATCTCTTTAATCATCGCTACGCATTCAGAATCATCATCATTGATTTAGGTATCTTCAGCTGGGAGTTCTTCTGTAAATAAAGGTAAACTTTTAGAGTAATGATCTGTAATGACTTCTAACACCTCTGGCTTGACAATATTCCAATCTAAGTCATCTTTTTTCGTGACTGAGATGAAATCTTTTCCATAGAATACACGTACGATTCCTTCAATACCAAAAAGCCTTCTGGCTAATGGAGAAATGTGAGTAAATCTAATAGATGAAAAATCCATGGTCTAATCCCCAGCAGGCATCACATCTTTTCCTGGAAGGAATTTCAATGATGAAGGATTAGGAGTTGGCCTAGTTTGTATAAAGAGTTATCTTAACATCATTTGATCTATGAATAACAATTATTAAGCAATAGATGAATTTACAAAAAGGAGAAATTCCATTTAATGCAGTTCTGTTAATACAAAACATCTACGATTGTCTCATAGTTTGAAGGGCTCTTTTGCTTAGAAATTCCATTTTAAGTTTAATTAAATTATAGGGAGATTAATTAAAGTGGTCGGCTAAAGAATTATTACTGCTTTTAATGATAAAATCATTATTAAATATTACAGTTAGTTGAGAGTGATTGTTTTACGTAAAAATGTAGGATAACAAAAAACATTACATCCCACGAGAGGATGAATTCTCTGACCCCGAGGACAACCAATAAAGATCTCCCCTTATTACTAAGAAACATGAGAAACAAACTTCAAAGATAGCAAGCAATTATGAAATCAGATTTTAAAACTTCAATGAAGATGAAGAGGCAACGAAGATCTATTAAATAGTTGGACTTGAAACTTCATATTTCAAATGCTGTATAGTCGTGCCTATACTTACCATTTGTACTGCGCTGTTCTTTTTGCTATTTTTATATTGGTACCCATCACTAAGAAGAAGATTCTTCTATAACTAGTGCTCATTAAACTAAGCCAAATTTCTATTTATTCTTGGAGCTCGTAAGTAATACGCGATAATTTATTACGTAAACCATTATTAGTCCCAATATCTTCAGAAGCATTTTTATTTATAACTTGTATTTAGTTGGCCATATGGAAATCGTAAACATTTAGAACAGAAATGAAGAGATATTTGACTACTTAGACTCTAAAGATAAATCTGCCTACGAGATAAGCCCGTTCTTGGTAATCCATATTTTTCGACTAACTTAACTTCTTATAGACGTTTACTTATAGATTTATCTAATTCTAATACGATTATCTTAATGATAAATTTGTTCCAATAGTATTTGATTTCAAGATGCCCTTCGCCAGTATTCATAGCAAATATTCAGCTGGAGTTCAAACTGAGGGGGATTATAAGATGCAACTTATTAAGTATGGAAAATGCAATATTGAGGTTCCTATCAAATCAGTTCCCAGACTTTTGATTGAAGAAGTCTTAAATCCATTTTATCTCTTTCAAATATTCAGCATGGCCCTATGGTATTGGGATGGTTATGCCGCTTATGCTACTTGCATCTTGATTATCTCAGTTACATCAGCTGTGACTTCACTTGTTGAAACTTTAAGAAACCTTAGATCCATCAAGAAAATGGCTTATTACTCTTGTCCAGTTAATGTGATGAGATCAGGGAATGAATAAGAACTTATCTAGACCAGTAGCGAGGATCTTGTCCCTGGTGATGTTATTGAGATTCCAGAAATGAGCAGCATGCCTTGCGATTTAATTCTTTTAACTGGATCTTGCATTGTAAATGAAAGTATGCTCACTGGTGAAAGTATTCCAGTCATAAAGAACTAACTTCCTTTCACAAATGATGTTTATGATGTTGATCAAGACAGTAAATACACTCTATATGGAGGGACCAAAGTTATTTAAACCAGAAAATTAGGAAAGCAAAGGGTCTTAGGACTTGTAATTAGAACAGCTTTTGTAACCACTAAAGGTAATCTTGTCAGAGATATTCTCTATCCTAAGCCAAACAAGTTTAAGTTTTATTAAGACTCACTCAAGTTTATTCTAGTTATGGGTATTTTAGCCATTCTCGGGTTCCTTGGAACACTACCATTTATGATTGCTTAAAACTATGATGCTGCAGCAATCATTGACAGATCTCTTGATTTAATCACAATAACAGTCCCACCTGCTCTTCCAGCAGCTATGACCGTCGGTACTGTATTTGCTATCAACAGACTGAAGAATAAGAAAATTTTCTGTATCTCACCACCAAGAGTAAATGTGAGTGGAAGAGTAAATTTGATGGTTTTCGATAAAACAGGAACACTCACTGAAGATGGTCTTCAAGTATTTGGATATAGAGGAGTAGATAAAGCTGTCATTCATAATAAGTAATCCAATGTATTTGGGTAGTTCACACCAGATTGCAAGATATTTTAGCCAAATAGAGCTTGGTGGAATGATAGACTAGATAAGGAAGAATTTGGAAACGATCCAAAGACTCTATTCTTAGAGAGTTTAGCCTCGTGCCATTCAATTACTTATGTAAATGGAGAATTAATTGGTGATCCTCTAGATGTAAAAATGTTTTAAGCAACCGGCTGGATACTAGACGAAAAAACAGATGATGCCAATGCTGATGAGCTTATACTTGCTTAAGTTAGACCAGAAATTTCGCCAGCACTACAAAAGAACATTAGAGCTGATTCAATGCTTTCAGCAAGTGATATAAGCTAAAATGGAAAAGATTCATCAAGTTACAGTATTGCACTAATTAGGAGATTTGATTTTTCATCAAAACTTCAGAGAATGAGTGTGATAGTAAAGAACATGCATGATGGTGAATTCAGATCTTATATCAAAGGTTCACCTGAGAGAATCAGAGAGCTTTGTAATGCCTCTACTCTACCAGAAAACTTTGATGAAATTCTATAAATCTATACTGAGTGTGGCTATAGAGTGCTTGCCTTAGCAACAAAACCTCTCAATCTTAACTTCTTAAAGGCTTAGAAAATAACCAGAGATGAAGTCGAGAGCGACATTCAATTCTTAGGGTTCCTTATTATGTAAAATAAGCTTAAGCCAGTTACCACTTCAATCATTCAAATCTTAAACTAAGCTAAAATTAGAACTATTATGGCTACAGGTGACAATGTGCTCACTGCTATATCTGTGGGAAGAGAATGCAACATCATCGACGGAGAATCAGAGGTCTTCTTAGGAGATGTTAGAAGAGATGGAGACACGGAATAGCTCTTTTGGAAGAGCACCAAGAGTAACAGACATGAGCTTCAACCAAAGACATTGGTTCCCAATTAATAATTCTTTTAAGATGAGAGCTAGAGACCTGGTCACAGTCATATTACTGGACATGAAAAATATGAATCTTCTAGATAAGATGAGGAAGAATCTGTGAATGATATCGTGAGTTTAGATGATTTCCCTTGGTAACATCCTCCAGAAGATTACTCAATCGCTATAACTGGAAAAGCATTCAATCTTTTGATTTAGGATCCTTCCTAAAAGGCTATTTTACAATAAGTTCTTTTGAAAGCTCAAATCTATGCAAGGATGCAGCCAGATGATAAGGCGAAGCTGGTCGAATAACTTTAAAGTTATTGTAAGACAGAAGTTGGTATGTGTGGGGATGGCGCAAATGATTGTGGCGCACTTAAGACTGCTGATATGGGTATATCTCTATCAGAGGCTGAAGCATCTATTGCTGCTCCATTCACAAGTTAAATCTAAGATATATCTAGTGTGGTCATAGTCCTAAGAGAAGGAAGATGCGCTCTTACTACTTCATTTTAAATGTTCAAGTTTATTGAGCTCTATTCTATGATTCAATTTGTGAATGTCACCTATCTTTACATTATTGGATCAAATCTGACAGATTATCAGTTCTTATATATTGACTTGTTTATTTTGGTGCCACTATCCATGTTTATGGGATAAACTGCTCCATACAAGCATTTAACTCCTCACTTGCCTTCAGGAGCTTTGATTAGCTTACCAGTCTTGGTATCTGTACTTGGCTCTGTAGTTATCCAAGCTACATTCTAGATTTTCATGTTTTACTTTGTTGCATGGTGGTCATTTTACTAGCAACCTCCTAAGCCTGATCCCCATGATCCAGATAAGAGCATGTCATGCTTTGAAAACACCTCAATGTTTTTGACATCTCTCTACTAATACTTAGTTGTTGCAATGGCTTTTAGTATTAGCAAGCCATTCAGACAGCCAATCTATACAAATCTTTGGTTCACGATAAGTCTTTTGATTCTATTTGTGTTCAGTGTCTATATTACTCTCGCCAGTGACAGTTGGATTGAAACTATATTCGAACTTAAAGAAGCAGTCACGATGGAATTCAGACTAAGTCTATTAGTAGTAGCATTTATCAACGGCATCTGCACCTACTTTTATGAGAAAATAGCTATTTGGTACATTTCACTGTGGTGGAAGAACAAAAAGGAAAAGAAGAGATAAGAGGAGCAAAAGAAGGAAATGGAATTTAACCAATAGCAAATTGAGAATATTCAGCCTAAATCATATGCTGTAAAAGTAGATGAACAGTAGTAGAGAAGAATTTCTAACCATTCTGGAACTCAAAGCAATCATACTTTTAAATTCAACAATATCAATGATATCGCTAGTAACAATGGAAGATAAGCTGTTGATAGCTCTCATGATGAAAAGTTGAGCAACGACTAATGATTAAGAAATTAGCATGCTTCTCTGCTTAAATTGAGATCATGAGGTTAATCACCTTAAATCAAATGAATTTCTAAATATGACTAAGTTTTAGAGAAAGTATTTAAGAACTTATTTGAGGCAAGTTAATTCAATTCAAAATATTAAGATACACAACTATTCTTACAACCTTTGATTTGAGGGGTTTTGGGGTTTTGGGGTTTTGGGGTTTTGGGG